CCGCCACCGCCGTCGCCGCCGTTGCCGTCGCTGTCGTCGCTGTCGTCGCTGTCGTCGCCGTCGTCGCCGTCGTCGCCGTCGTCGCCGCCGCCGTTACCGTCGCTGTCGCCGTCGCCGCCGCCGACGCCGTCGCCGTCGCCGCCGCCGCCGCCGTCGTCGTCGCCGGCGTCGCCGCCTTTCGCGTCGCCGTCGCCGTCGTAGTCGTCGCCCGTTGTCGTCGCCGTCGCCGCCGCCGCCGTCGCCGCTCGTCGTCGGTGTCGTCGCCGTCGCCGCCGTCGCTGGCGCAGTTCGCCGTCGCCGCGCCGCCGCGCCGCGCCCGCCGCCGTCGTCGTCGTCGTCGTCGTGTCGTCGTCGTCCTCGTCGTCGTCGTCGTCGTCGTCGTCGTCGCCGTCGTCGTCGTCGTCGCCGTCGCGGTCGCCGTCGCCGTCGCTGCCGCGGCCGCCGCCGCGGCCGCCGCCGCCGCCGCCGTCGTCGTCGTCGTCGTCGTCGTCGTCGTCGTCGTCGTCGTCGCCGTCGTCGTCGTCGTCGTCGTCGCCGTCGTCGCCGTCGTCGCCGTCGCCGTCGCCGCCGCCGCCGCCGCCGCGGCCGCCGCCGTCGTCGCCGTCGTCGTCGTCGTCGTCGTCGTCGTCGTCGTCGTCGTCGTCGTCGCCGTCGGCGTTGTCGTCGTCGTCGTCGTCGGTCCACGGGGACCCCGACGCCTCCGTCGTGCCTGCGCCGAGCGCCCGGGCCACCACCGCGCCCACCGACCCGGCAGCGGCCGCCGCCCCGGCCGCGGGTGCGTCGGCGGCGGCCTCGGCCTGGCGCCGCTTCGCGGGCGGCCTCGGCCCGGCGGCAGAGCGCAGCAGGGCGTGCAGGCCCGCGCCGTCGCGCCGCGCGGCCAGCGCGGCGAAGCGCGGCGCCAGGTCGTCGCCCGCGGCCGGCGCGGAGGCCATCGGTGCGTCCTCGCAGGGCGCCCTCCTCCTCCTCCTCCTCCTCCTCCTCCTCCTCCTCCTCCTCCTCCTCCTCCTCCCCCTCCTCCTCCTCCTCCCCCTCCTCCTCGCGGGCTGTGCTGTCCTCGGGCAGCCTGGGGTCGGGCGCTGGGGCCTCCGAGGGCCGCCGCGGCGTCGGCGAGGGCCGACTCGGCGTGGCCGAGGGCCGCCGCGGGCGGCGGCAGCGCGCCGCGGGGAGGGGGGGAGGGTCAGGAGCAGGGAGGTCGGCTCTAGCGCCCCTCGAGCGCGTGGGTTGGATTCCTTGTGCTGCGACGCCTTGGGCCGCAGCGGCTGCGGGGAGGAGGAGGAGGAGGAGGAGGAGGAGGAGGAGGAGGAGGGAGGAGGAGGAGGAGGAGGAGGAGGAGGAGGAGGAGGAGGAGGAGGAGGAGGGAGGAGGAGGAGGAGGAGGAGAGGATGAGGTGAGGATGAGAGGAGGAGGAGGAGGAGGAGGAGGAGGAGGAGGAGGAGGAGGAGGAGGAGGAGGAGGAGGTGGAGAAGGGGCACTGAGGAGGGGGGGTGGACAGGCAGGGGGGAGGGGGGAGGCAGGAGAAGAAGCAGAAGGCAGTGGGGTGGGGGGATAAGAAGGATGAGGAGAATGAGGCGAGGAGGACACAGAGGAGTGTAAGACGAGAACGAGGCATGAGGAGGGAGCGCGAAGAGAGGAAATTGGAGGGAGGAGAAAAAGCCAACAGTTGGGGTGGAGGGCGGGGAAACGGACAAACGTTGAGCTCCACGCCCCTTGAACAAAACTGGCTTCGGACCCAATGCTGCTCCATGTCCTCATAGTCATAGCCATCCCGCTTCGCCTCCTCCTTCTCTTCCTGCCCCCTTCCCTCCTCCTCCTCCTCCTCTTCACCCTCCTCCTTCCCCCTCCTCCGCCCACGCATAATCCTCCTCCTCCTCCTCCTTCTCCTTCTCCTCCCTCCTCCTCCCTCCTCCGTCCTCCTACCTCCTCCGTCCTGCCTCTTCCCTTCTGCCTCCTCCCTCCTCCTGCCATCGTTCGGACGTCCATTCCACGGGCATCTCTCGGTTCCGTGCATGCTTTTCCTCGCAATATGACTCAAACTGCTCCTCTATGGTCCTCAGCGGGAAGGAGCGCACACGTCCGACCGATGCTAAGTCCTCCCTCTTCCCTCCCTCCTCCTCCTCCTCCTCCTCCTCCTCCTCTGCCGCCTCCTCCTCCTCCTCCGCAGCCTCCTCCTCCACCGCCTCCTTCTCCCTCTCTGTCTTCTCTTCCTGCTGCCCCTGCTCATGTTTTCTGTACTACGCACGACTTGTTTGCGGCGTAACCGTCGTACATCAACAACGGCAACGCATGTGCGGACACGAGACATCAAGAAGATCCTTGGCATGAGGGGGGTCCTGACATGAACGGGTCATGGTCCCGAATCAGATTCTGACGGTCGCGAAGCCTGGGAAGGGCACCGACGGGCCGAAACTCGCAAATAAGCTCAGGACCCTTTCCCTCAGGACTCTTGTTCTTGAGGAGGCGGGAGGAGGACAATGAAGAGGAGCAGCACGAGGAAGAGCAAACAAGGTCGAGAAGGACGCTGAGGATGAACAGGAGGAGGAGGACGAGAGAAAGGAGCAGCATGAGGAAGAAGACCAAACGTAGTGAAGAAGCAGCATGAGAACGACGCTGAGGAGGAGCAACACCAGAAGGGACGATGAAGAGGAGCAACAAACAGGTTTTTTACCCTACAGGCGGGCTCGCGCCAGCCCCTCGGCTGGGGTGCGTTCCCTCCTTCTTCTCCTCCTTCTCCGCCTGCCCAGGCGCCCTCCCCTTCTATCCTGGCACTCCTTGTCCTCCTCCTCCTCCTCCTGTTCCTCCTCCCCCCATCTGCCTCTTCCCACCCCCCGTAATCCCCTACTAGTCCTGATGTTCCTCCTCCTCCTCCTCCCCCTCCCCCTCCTCCCCCTTATCCTTATCCTGACCCTCATCCTCGACATCACCATCATCACCATCACCATCACCATCATTACTATCATCATCATCATCATCATCATCATCATCATCATCATCATCATCATCATCATCATCATCATCATCATCATCATCATCATCATCACCATCACCATCACCATCACATCACCATCACCATCACCATCATCATCATCATCATCATCATCATCATCATCATCATCATCATCATCATCATCATCATCATCATCATCATCAACATCATCGTCATCGTCATCATCAACATCATCACCATCAACATCATCATCACCGTATTCACCGTGCCCAGTATCGTCACCACCATCACCATCAGCATCATCATCATCACCATCACTTCCACCACCAACATCATCATCAACATCATCATCAACATCCCCATCACCCTTCCATCACCATCATCACCATCATCACCACCACAACCATCAGAACCATCACAACCATCAACATCACCATCACCACCATCATCACCATCACCACCACCACCACCACCATCATCACCGTCAACGTCACCATTACCACCACCACCATCACCATCACCATCAGCATCAGCATCATCATCATCATCATCATCATCATCATCATCATCATCATCATCATCATCATCAGCCTCATCATCACCATCACCATCACCATCATCACCACCACCAGCATCAACATTGTCATCACCACCATCATCACCATCATCATCATCACCATCATCACCATCACCGTCATCATCCTCCTCATCATCATCATCGTCATCATCATCATGCTCATCATCATAATTATCAATCTAATTACCATTACCATCATTGTCCATGCATCCTGGCACTCCTCCTCCTCCTTCTCCTCCTCTTCATCATCTGCCTCTTCCCAATCCCCCCCAATACACTACTAGTCCTGAGTCCTGAAGTTCCTCCTCCTCCTCCTCCTCCTCATTCTCACCATCACCATCATCATCACCACCCTCACCACTATTGAGGAATTCACCTGTATGAGCTTAAACTATGTTGATTTCAGTGTGTTTACGTGCCCGTAATCATCTTGGCTTAGGGCACCCTCTGTGTTCTTATCTTGCGATCGGTCTGACAACCATCATTGCTCGCTTCCGCTGCCGATGTTGGCGTGTCAGTGGTAGCGGAGCCCGTGGATAGATTCCCGCGGGCTCGCTGCTGGCGCGACTGATGTCTGCGCACAGCAGCCGCAGTGGACGAGGTAACAGTGGTGGAGTTTGGAGACCGGTTGGAGCAGGATCGGAGACAAAGGATAGCGCCTCCAGTCCGAGTGACAGCGAGGGAGCAGGTTTCACGGAGCAACAGCTAGCGACTTTGATGAAGCTGATAGGAGAGAGCAGCCGTCACCAGTTCCAGGAGTTGAAGGACGAGCTGCGAAGCCTTTCGCAGCAAGGAGCGAGCACGGGACCGCCGGAGACCAAGACCGAGGCGGCTCCCGGGACAGAGGGTGCGGGCCGGCACGCTCGCGACGACCCGTGGACTCAAGATGACCCATGGGGCGGCAGGCAGGAGCCAGACGAGCAGCCAGCAGGGAAGTGGGAGCGAGACACCTCGTGGGGAGGTGCGCGCGAGCCCTGGTGGCAGAGCTCCGATGGCAAGAGTCACGGCTACGACGGGAACAAGAAGGACGACGACGACGGGCAGTGGTCGTGGAGAGGACGCGACTGGAGCTCGTCCAGCTGGTCATGGCATGAGAAGTCCTGGTCCAAGCCGGATTATTCCGACCCAGACCCGTGGATGGGATGGACGGACTTTCGCATCTGGCGCCGCAAGATCAAGCGCTGGCTCTCGTCTACAGATGTATGTACCGATTCAGAAGAGATCCGACAAGTTGCTGAAGACGCTGGACTTAGAGCTCCAGCGCAAGATGGAGGACATCAACGACGACGTTCTGATGTCGAGCGTGGGCCCGGACATGATAGTGAAGCGGCTCGACACGATGAGCGGCAAGAGAGTGGATGATGAAGATCGCCGAGCAGCCCGAGAGTGTCTCTTCGGGTATCAGCGCAAGGCTGGAGAGACCTTATCCATGTACGCCGCGCGCATGGAGCAGCAGTTCGATTTACTCCGTGCCCAGGGACTTCCACTACCGGACAAGTGGATGCACCTCTTCATGGAAGAGGGGGTGAACCTAGATGACAGCGGCAAGCAGATGCTACGAGTACTGACGCGCGGCTCGGGTAAGTACGAGGACCTCCAGAACGCCATCAGAGAGCTCGACCTGTCCAAGACCGAGTCTCTGTCCGGAGCTGCCCGTGCTGCACGCACGTACCTCGGCGAGGACGTCGAGGAGGGCTCCGGCACGTATCACGGAGAGCAAGATGATGAATCAGAGCTGTCCGTGGACACCGACATGGAGAACGAGATATTGCTGTGCATCGACTCGGCAGATATTGACGAAGACCAAGCACCTCTTGTCCTAGCAGAGCTCCAGCAGGAGCGAAAGAAGACGTGGAAAGAAAACAAAGTGATGAAGCGCCAGGTGAAGGTCGACCGGAAGTTCTACCCGCCGCCCTCTCATCCTGGCGGAGGCTCTCGACCAGAACGCCGACATGGGGGAGGAGACCTGCGTCCAGGAGGCGGCCGAGGCGGGAACAGCGGCGGGGCTCCTCGCCCAAGGAGGGAGCGCCTCAACATCGAACAACTGATGAAGGTCACCAGGTGCAAGAAATGCCGGAAGAAAGGGCACTGGTCCAGGGAATGCCCGGAGAACAAGCAGTCCTCGACCAACGGCTTCGTGTTCCTGAACGAGCCGTCCGCCGACGCTTCGGGGCTCGTCCTGGCCACTCTCAGTGAGGTGGTCAAGCGCTGCGAGGAGGCCCTCCGTAGTCTCCCCAGCCAGGCGCCGACGGCCCCGGACATCTTCCTGACCACCGAGGGCGGCAAGATCATCGTGGACACCGCAGCGGCACAAGGCCTCATTGGCCCCCAGTCGCTGGCTCTTCTAGAAAAAAGGTTGAGTGAGTTAGGATACCAGGTAGTCCGTGTTAAGAGTAGCAATAGATTTGCCCGGGGCGTTGGGGGACACATTCCTGTCGAATCTGGCATCCTGGTCCCCCTAGGCCTGGAGGGCCGCGGAGGTGTCATGCAAATAGACCTCGTGAATCAGGAGCTCCCGGCACTCATGCCAGTGGGCATGCAAGAGATGCTGGGAGCAGTCATCGATTTGCCCCGGGGCCGTGTACAGTTCACTCAGCTGGGAGTTGAGACGCCACTAGAGAAGCTCCCGAGCGGCCACCGAGTAGTAAGTATCGATCGCTTAGGCCCTCCCGCCGAATTCGAAGTGCCCCCTGCTGTGGCGGCCAAGTACGACTTGAAGCCGGGAGCCTTTTGCCTTTCT